TAACTTCGAGTATCCTTTATTATAATCATGATAATATAATTTGATTATATTTTAAAATTGAGAATGGAAATGGGGAATGTGTCAAAGAGACAACAACCCGACCATAGAGCAGACAACAGCCGAAGGCCACCAATGGGTCTTCAATGCAGCGAGAAACTACTGCACCCAGAGGCGTCCTTCAGCTGGCCCCTAAACAAATATGTATACTATTACTAGTTCAGTGATAATGGACGTCATACTAAACTCCAAATTATACACAAGAAACTAATTGTTTATTTGTTATTTATCATACAGTTATTTTCAGTTAAGTGCTATTCCTTAAAAAAAGGAAAACAACACTTTATAGATGTCATGCGTCTGAAGCGCTTCTCTGGATTTACCTTCACCAGGAACGCTAAAAGCCGAATACTAGTACTCAAAAGACCAGGATGTATAATATCCGAAACAGTTGAAGAGCTATATGACCAAAAAGAATCTACAAAAATAGTCAAATCCTTCTAAGTTCAACTTTTTCTGAGGGAGTTGAAACCTTAGTTTCTTTATAATTTCTAAATTTATAAACGGACACTTTTAGAAAGGTTTGTTATATTTAATAAAATGTCCGTACCGAAATACTGACTACTGAGTTGACGATATCCTCGGGGACTGATAGTCCACCAGAACCTTAATTGATTTTTATTGCCGTAGCGCTGTATTCTTGTATGCATGTTTTGTTAAAGATAGGCGGAAGATATCAAAGTGGGAGAATCAAACATATAAATCGATGACAAACACGCCATGTCAAAAAAAAAAAAAGAAAACCGACCAAACGGCAACCAACAGTATACAATACACAATATAAAAAAACTAAAGAAGGAGCAACACGAACCCCACTGAAACTGGGGGTAATCTCAGATGCTCTGGAAGTGTAAGCAGATCCTGCTCCACATGCGGAGTCTACTGATCAAGAAAAGGGGGAGATTTGATATCAAAGATAAAGAAACTGAATCCCACCACATTATCGTGTCCAGAGTCACGAAGCTCGTTAGTGCTCGTCTTACGTCATATATTAATTTTTTTTTGTGTGTGTGGAGAATTTGGCTTGGGTGGCACAGATTGTTTCTGTTTAATCAGATCATAATTGTATAGACTCGGGGACAATTTAGAGCCTGACACATTGTATAGAAATCTATCAATTATCGAAGACTGGATCCTACCCTCTAGATGTCTTTTGTGGGCCTTTTTGTCATTTGTTCAGTAATATGCATTTTGTCTTTCGGTAGATTTTTTTCTCTGTTTTTTTTAATTTTTTTTTATGGCAACACAAGGTACATTGTTCGGGTAGTTGGTTGGAAAATTGAAACGTGCGAAATATTCATCGATTTGAAAGAAAAAAAAAACATGAATTTTCGTCACTTAATTGGTATCTTGAACCAAATAAATTTTAGAGATCAGTTGTTTCATGCGACCATAAATCCGCAAATAAATTAATGAAAAATTTACTTCATATGGACTACAGACACGTGATTTAATGGAATCATTTGCGTGATCCTACTGTACGATAGACATTTAAAATGACTTTACTATTGTCTTTCCCACACTAGTTTGTATCATTCATTCATTTGGATTATTCGTTTGGTATTCACAATTGAACAAACTAAATTAACGATTCACTTTTCGAAAAACCCTGCAACTATGTAATACTTCGATGGATTTATGCATTTCAGGTAATCCAATTACGATTATTGGACAGAGAAAACAAATGGCAAAAATGCTGGCAGTTGTTTTATTTCCATTACTGATATTGTCAACTATCACTGCAGTGGGTTTTTCTAAATCTTTATCAAGTTACATCAATACCGATGAAATAGCCGAAAAAATAGATTTTGGAGTACAGCTTGGTGGATTTCTACAGGCCCTGCAAAAAGAACGAGATATGAGCTCCCTTTATTTAAGTCAAATTGGCTTTGATTCAAAAAGAGAACTATTACTTGCATATCCGGAAACAGATGCCGCTTTAGATACTTTATCCTCGTGGCCTGTTAGTACGCGTAATAAACAGAAAGAATTCCAGTCACGCGAACATTTCGTTTATTTTCTGAATAGACATCGATACGAACTGGATTCTAATAATGCGACAGCAACTGATGAAATAAGCTTTTACTCGCAGACTATTGAAATATTTATAAAGTGGATGTATGATTCAGTTAATGAGTTGGATACTGGAACTATATGGAAAACACTAGTGGGCTATCAAGAATTGATCATAGCCAGCGAGTATATTGGTCGAGAGAGAGGATATGGCATATATTACTACGCGACAGGTGCATTCGTGGACCGGACGCACTATTTACTCTTTATGGAAAGTCAAAACAGTGCAAAAACACATTTTGAATCTGCAAGAATGTATTCCGTTACGGCTTACGATATTTATCATACAACACTTGACGCTCAAAATCAAACATTGCGTGTAATAAACGATTTGAGAGAAGATATAAAAGCTAATAATTCATCAGTCTCGGAAGGATCGCTTGAAAAGGCAAACCGGTGGTTTGCAAACATGAGTATCTATATGGATGTTATGAAATCTGCACAGATATTGTTAACCGCTAAGATCAACAGACTTCTAAAAAACAACTCCAATGCTGATTTGAAAGAAATGATAATAGCAGGTGTTATCTTTTCCGGAATTGTAATCATAAGTCCAGTCATAATCCTTTTTGTATACAAATTGACATCAAATATCCAAAAGTACTCATTAAACATCGCTAAAAAGTAAGTAGTCATAGGTAAGGCCGTTTGTTTTTTTTTTTCGTTTGAATTGTTTCACATTTATTCATAATGGGGCCTGATAGCTGACTTACGGTAGGGATATTATGCTCGTTGTTGAAGGTCGTGCAGGGACCTGTAGTTGCTTTCATGCACGTCATTTAGACTCTTGTGGATATTCCAATAATATACTAAATCCATGTCAACAGTTTGCATAGAGGAACCAATTATTGTTTATGCAATGCAATTGTTGCGTGAAAGACAGCACTCAATAATTTCTCGCACTTGGTTTTGCTAATACTGACTATATATGAATTCAAATTTGTTGATTCCCACTTCAGTAATAACAGGAATAAAGAATTCTTCGATTGGTACCTTGAGCAAGGTCTAAAATTTCTGTACTGGTTTTCATTGTGCAATGTTCGTTTATGAGCCTTTTTTGTCCACTGATCGAGATTAAGAGATTGAGATTGTTAATTACGTCACATGTTCATGTGCCTTTCTGAAGTCAAGAACCTTGTCCGTGGTTGTCTATGTTCCTTTGGAACCGTCTTACGGTGTTTATATATCCCAACTCGTTCGCTATGCTCGTGTTTGTAGTGACGTTTTGGATTTTAATGAGCGTAATCTATGTACTACTAGTAAATTATTATGTCAGGGATTTCGTTACCACAAATTACTTAAAACCTTTACAAAATTCTTTCATAGATACAAAATTTGGTCTACAAGTTTGGCTGTACCTGTAGAAAACTTATTTCAAACGGAATAGCAAATCCTAAATTTTACGATGATGTTGTAAACCGAGCCCGGAAATTTAGATACGATCCTGGTAAAATTATTAGTCCTTTAAATAAACTTATTCTAAAAGGTTACCTTTTCAAAACTGTAATTATATCTTTGAATATTGTTTTTATTGGTGTAAATATTGATTTTGTTATCAGTAAATTAAAACCATACTAAATATTACACATATGTATTTTCGCGGTACTACAATCTGTCGATACTTATAGTTTGGCATTGTACAAGGTCATGCTTTTCTCTGACTGTTAATGACGTCTTTACACTAAATCCATTGGATGTTGGATATGTACTGATTGATATTCTAGTCTTAGGTACATTATTTTTTTCATTGGTTTGTTATTGGCTTTGAACTAGCTGTCATTAATAACTGCGAGTACTCTCAGATCTGTACTTATTGTCTTTTTGTTTTTGGGATGTATAAGTACCCGTCCACGTCCACTTTGTGTTTTTGTTAGAGGTGTTTCTATTTGTATCCATCTGATGAGTTAAGCCTTTTTCAACTGATTTTTATAGTTTGTTCTTATGATGTACTGTTAAACCACTGTCCCAGGTTAGAGGGAGGTTTGAGCGCTCACAAACACGTTTAAACCTGCCACATTCTTTATGTGCTTGTCCTAAGTCAGGAACCTGTAGTTCAGTGGTTGTCGTTGGTTCATGTCTGTCATATCTTTTATTTCGTAAGCTGTTTTGTTATAAATTAGGCCGTTAGTTTTCTCAATTGAATTGTTTCATATTTTTCATGTCGGGGCCTTTTATAGCCGAGCATACGGTATGAGTTTTTCTCATTGTTGAAGGACGTACGGTTGCCTATAATTGCTTAAATCCACTTCATTTGAACTTTGGTGGATATTTGTCTCATTGGCAATCATACCACATCTCCTTATTTTTATTTTAATCATATGTTGATGTATATTTTTACTTTTTTTCTTTCGGAAATTTTTTGCTGATGGCATATCAGTGATAGTCTCTGTTAAATTTATTCGTAACTTATTGAGATTCTAGGCGACTTAAAGCTCTACATTATGTTTAGACACGACTATTGTTGAAGCCTGTATGTTGACCTCTGGATGTCCTTTGATTTTTTTTGTGTCGTTAGGTTGCTGTATCATTGACTTTTACCCTAGATCGTGTGAAATTAACATGCATTCGTTCAAACACATAACACCTACACGTATTTCGTAAAATATGCACAAACTGCATTTACATTTTTTATGTGTTCAATAAATTCATCACATACTTACTAAGTTTTTTTAAAAGATCAAATTAACAATTTCGATCCCTTTTAGATGTTAATGAAAGTACTTTTAATGTTATAGTGTGTGATGAAACTGTACAATAATGCTACATGTATTTATAACAAGTTTAATCTTATTCATTCTGTATTTCTGTTTATTGCATATAAAAGAACCAAAGCATTGAATAGAGAAAAGAAGCAGAGTGAGGCTGTTTTGTTCCAAATGTTACCGAGGACAGTGGCTGAGGACCTGAAACAGAATGGAAGCTTCAACGCTGAACATTTCCCAGAATGTACAATATTTCAAAGCGACATGGTCGGTTTCACTCAGCTGTCGTCAAACAGTTCACCCTTTCAAGTAACAGACATGTTGAACACGTTGTTTTCGTGTTTTGATGATAGAATTAGTATCTATGATACGTATAAAGTGGAAACAGTCGGAGATGGCTACATGGTGGTATCAGGTTTTTACTTTAATTTTATTCATTACTTACTTATTCGATACGTGCTAGTATTACAATGACAACCACATCTGCCATAGAATGACGTCGATGGCCGAGTGGTCTACGTAGTTCGTCTACAGTAATCACTATCCTATGGTGGTCGGATGCGGCCATTTCGCCTTTTCGCGTTTTCGCGTTTTCTCCTTTCACTTTTACGCGAAATTGCGAAATCGAGAAATCGGGAAATCGGAAAATCGAGAAATTGAAAAAGCGAAATTGAGAAATCGGGAAATCCAGAAAACGGGAAATCGGGAAATCGAGAAATCAAGAAAGCAAGAAAGCCAAAACGCGAAAACGCGAAGGCGAAAACTCGAAAACGGGAAATAGATTTCTCAATTTAGCGTTTTCGCTTTCTCGCTTTCTCGATTTCCCGATTTCTCGATTTCCCAATTTCCCGATTTCTCGATTTCCCCATTTCCCGATTTCTCAATTTCTCGATTTCGCTTTCTCGATTTCCCGATTTCTCGATTTTTCTCGATTGCGCTATTTCGCGTTTGCAAAGTGAAAGGAGAATACGTGAAAACGCGAAAAGGTGAAATGGCCGCATCCGGCCACCATACTATCATGTCAACTCTGGTGTTTTGAGTTCGAACCGCGCTTATGGCGAGGCGTGCTCGACTACATTCTTAACTGACAATAATGCTATATTAAAGTCTTCTAAATTCAGATAGGAAGAAAGAAGATCTGTCGAATTTACTCTCTTGGATTGTTTCACATTTTGTCTTAAGCCTTTTCTAGCTTACTTCTAGTATATATGCGGTATAGGTTTTGCTCATTGTTGAAAGCCGTACTGTTATCTGTAATTGTACATAGTTTTGTCCTTTGGTCTATGAGTATTGGTCTCACTGGCAAAAGAACCACGTCACCTTGTTTTTATATCATGTATATGAAAATTTTTATTATCAAAAGCGCTAAACAAACCCAGCTAAAACTGTCAAAGTTTAACTTTGCTAGACAGAGTTAAAACTTTTTGTTTAAAAATTTCAAATAATTAACAATTTAGGAGATATATGTCGTCAATTATGCATAGGACATTTTTTTATATTTGAAGGTGTACCGAGACGGAACGGAGTAAGACATGCATCTGAAATCGCAACTTTATCCCTGGATTTGCTATATCATGTAAACAAGCTAGAACTTCCACATTTATCCGGTGAAAGGTACAAGATCAGAATAGGATGTCATTCAGGTAAATGTCATCAACTTTTATTTTATTGTTAGTCAAGGTTTCTTTATTGTGTTACATCTTTATGTTTTTAGCTGTTGTTGTTATTCTTTCAGTAAGTAAACATAAACGATTGTCATGCCAGATCTTTTTGGTCTTTTCATTTGGTCTTTTCCTGGGAGGAAAAAGGTGTTTTTGTTTTTTTTGGGGGGTGCTTGATTCTTTTTCTACTAGGAAGTTTTATAATGTTTCCATTTTTACTTTGACCAATACACACGCAGTCAACAGCTAGATATGCAGGCAAGTGCGTTAGAACAATTAATTTTTCAGTTCTATCAAATTGATTGATTGATATTGTGCCTATAGGTCCAGTAGTAGCAGGTGTGGTTGGTACAAAGAATCCTAGATATTGTTTGTTTGGGTCCACAGTACGAATCGTGGCATTGATGGAATCATCTGGAGAAAGTAAGTTATATTAATGTTTTTTTTATGGTATCTGTCGGCCAATGGTATCTGTAATCTAACGCTATTTGTGTTCAAATGTAGATATGGTGGTGTTTTGCTTCCGTATACGATATTATTTTATTCCAAAACGGAGAATTGTTTGATATCCCACAGCAGCCCATTTAGGTCCTCCCTAATTCGCGATCACAAATTTATTAATCATGATCATGAATTAAAAAATCGTTATCACGAAGCCCATTTAGGACCTTCCAAATATATAATTTGAATTCGAAATCACGAATTGTATAATTTGTTATAACAGATTTAATTTGTGATAACGAATTGGTGGAAATCGTTATAACAGATTTTATAATTCGTAATTACGAATTAAATTCGTTATATATCACAATTTTTTGTTATTTGTGATTTTTGTACATTTTTATTCATTATTTTTTATTTAAAGTTTTTTTGGACCGGCGATTTCCTTCGTGTGTATCGCCCATGCATATATTTTACACAGCGGCAACAGAAGAAGTTTTGGCAACATGGTTTATCGAAGTGTAAAACCCAGGAAAGAAAATCGAACAGACTAATCATATTCAAGTTTTTGTTGATATGCTAATAATTTAAGAATTATTTGATAATGACGAAAATATAATAGGAGTGCATGCAATTCAAAAACAAACAACAAATTTAGAAAATGGAATATAATGTGCAAAAGTATTTATAAGATAAGGTTAGCCTTGAGTGTAGTGAAGTGAGAGAAATAAATAAGGGTATCTACTTTAAAGAATGTGTGCGATGAGCCCGCCTGCGGAACAACATGGCCAACATGGCCAAAAATAGAACATAAGGGTAAAAAAAGGTCAATTGCCGCTTTCAATCATGTGGAATTATTTGTAGATCTTTCTCAGTAATCATTTTCGCTATAATAATTCTCTCTATCTATTATAATTTTCAAAATAACAGACAAAACACAAAATAAAAAAAAACGTCAGTAAAGGAAAATTATTCCTATAAATAGTCATCTTACAATTTTGATGTAAACAGACAGTACGGAAACCTTGTGATTCCAAACAATTCTCTTTCTATAGCAGTTTTCAAGATAAAAGAAAAAAACCTTGCATTTTACCCTTGTGTTCTATTTTAGGCCATGTCGTCCATTTTGTTACGCTTGCGGGCTTATTGCACACATTCTTCAAACTAGAAACCATGATTTATTGCTCTCACTACACTTCACTCCAGGCTAGCCTTATCTACTTGTGCACTTATATTCTATTTTCTTCCTCTTTATATCTTGTGTTTGTTTTTGAATTACATGCACTCCTACTATGTTTTCGTTATTATTAATAATTGTTATATTATTAGCATATCAATAAAGATTGGTCTGTTAAATTTTCTTTCCTAGGTTTACACTGCGATAAACCATGTTGGCGAAACTACTTTCGTTGCCTCTGTGTAAAATATATCCATGCGCGATACACACTAATGATATTCGCCGGTCTAAAAAGACTTTAAATGAAAAATAAGGAATAAAACTATATCGGTCAAGAAATATGAGGATTAGACACATTTTTTTCTGGAGATTTTTGGTGTGTAAACTGGGTCGCTGACTAATAAACTTACATATCAGTTTGTGAGTCAACCCACCCGTTTTACACGACAAAAACTTCTAGGTACAGTGCTTTTGTGTTTATATTTGTACATGGAGAAGACGTCACTAATGTTGTTTCAGTTTTTGTCCAATCCATTTTGCTAATTTTGCAAATAAAATGCGTTAAAACTAAATCGCCCCGGATTGTGGTCAAGTTTGTTTCACTTTGGCAAAAAGGTTTCAGTGAAGAAGATTTTTGTAAAAGTAATGAACAGCGACGGGCGTAACGTGAGGAGAAAAGCTCACTTAACTCTGTGGTTCAGGTGAGCTAAAAATTTGTGATAATGAATTTTAATCCAAATCACAAATTACAAAATAAACTATGATAACGAATTCCACAAATTCGTTATCACGAATATAATCCGTTATAACAAATTATACAATTCGTTTTAACGATTTTAATTCGTTATCACGAATTACAATAAATTGTGATAACGAATTTAATTCGTAATTACGAATTATAAAATCTGTTATAACGATTTCCAACATTTCGTTATCACAAACTTAATCTGTTATAACAAATTATACAATTCGTTATAACGATTTTAATTCGTTATCACGAATTACAAAAAAATGTGATAACGAATTTAATTCGTAATTACGAATTATAAAATCTGTTATAACGATTTCCAACAATTCGTTATCACAAATTTAATCTGTTTTAACAAATTATACAATTCGTGATTTCGAATTCAAATTATACAATTCGTGATTTCGAATTCAAATTATACAATTCGTGATTTCGAATTCAAATTATACAATTCGTGATTTCGAATTCAAATTATTTTTTTGGAAGGTCCTAAATGGGCTTCCGTAAACTCGTATGAAATGGTCTTCCGTACAGATTAGACAGTATAATTTGATTATACTTTCTACTTTGGCACTGACCGATCAAGCAATTTAGTTTAAAAGACCATGAAATTTATTCCACACACACACAACGGTGCACAGTAGGTATAATGTCCGGCTTGGTTCGTGTTTTTTTCCGCAAATATGTTGTAAAATGGAAAATACATAATTCTTGCTGATGTGACGTTAAACCGAAGATTTCACATGTGCGGCTTAACATATTTATTTTCGATTGCCCAAACGGTTGTCCCATTTAGGCATATCATATTCTGTTTGTAAAGGTTGTCTACATAGTATATATAATATGAAGAGATGTGGTGTGATTACCGATAGGACATCTATCCAACAGAGCCCAAATGATGTAGATTAAAGCAATTATAGGTCACTGCATGTCCTTCATACATTTTTAATCAATTCCTTTTTATTGTATAGCAAACAAAATCCAGGTCAGCCATTCCACTTACTCTCTATTGAGCGCCATTGGTGGATTTGAAATGGAAGAACGACAAACCATGAGTGTTTTTGTAAGTTTAGCATGGTTTCTTGCGTTAAATGTTACATGTTTGTTAAGGATGTTCGCTACTTTTGTTTTTGACTTTTTTGTCTGACATTTGGAATCCTCTAGTTTTATCTATGTAGTGCCATTAAAAATTTGGCCAGCTAACTCCTACTTTTATTTTCATAATCTTATTACATATATAGTTTACAAAAGTCATTTTTGGAAATATTATAAAATTTTTGTTATTTTTCATAGTTTTGAAAGAAAAAAAAGTGTCAATCTAAAATGAATGAAAAATCTAGAGAGAATCATTTCCCGTCGTCATTTTTAATTAATTATATCTCATTTTTTCCTGTTTTTTAAGTTCCGTTATTTATATACAATCAATTTATAACAGTCATTTGAAAAGCTTGTTATTTTGAAACAGAAAGGCGGACATCCTTAAGAAATTGGACATACAGATTTTAAAAAATGCAAACATACTCTTCAAGTAAATTATATTCGAATATCTCCTATAGTATTACATGTTATCATTATGTTTGCTCTGTTGTTAAATGCTTGTAGCTCATCTTGTTTTTCTGAAAAAGCCGCTACTTAAAACAATCCTCCGTATTCAGAATCAAATGGTAAAAAAGAGGTATGATATGAGCTATTATTTAGCCCCAGAAATTGAAACGATAAAAATGACTCAAGCTTTTCAAAAGTACGTTAATTTTATTCATAAATGAACAGGATAATATATTCTGAACACTTTAGTGCTGAAATGTCACTTCGGATGTCACTGTGATGTCAAGGACATGTTGAAAATGGCGTATTTGAGCTAAAATGAACATTTTACACATATTTTTTTAACAAAATAGATATGAGCAATTACCTTACCCCAAAAATTATTTTACACACAATAACATCATTCTGTGTAAAAATACATCTGTCAAAATATATATTTGGGTCAAGGTGTAGCCCATATATGAATATCAATGACAAGATCTCAACAACATGACAAAAAGAATAGCAACGAAAAGACATACACCAGTCCGCATCATGGCCAAAAGAAAAGCAACGAAAAGACATACACCAGTCCGCACCATGGCCGAAAGAAAATCAACGAAAAGATATACACCAGTCCAAACCATGATCGAAAGAAAATCAACGAAAAGACATACGCAATACGACAACTTAAAATCGGGATGAACTCCAAAAGGATCAGTAATATCTGCTCCACTTATGAAACGTTAGCCTTGTTTCTTTGAAGGTCTATTCAAGTATTTGTGTTATTCAAAAAAGCTTTTCATTGCTGTTATATACTCAACGATAAAAGCGTCACAAATAACAAATGATTTATGTCTTAAATTTGGATTTTAAAGAACGTTTAAGAGCAAATTAAGACTCACCATTAGCGCTCGAATCAAAACAATCGTAAGGCCAAATCAATAACAATGCTGAAGAGCAATGGAAACCAAAAGGTCCAAAATTGGTCCAAAAATATGCGCAATTTGATTATACAGAGTTATATAAAATCACAATTGTATTCAAACTATTATATTAAAAAAAATCATAAATGATTGTTGTAGGCGAAGGATGAATTGAAGAAAAACGGCTGTTCGCAAACGACCTTCTGGTTGCTTCAGAAGGATTTCCAAGTCTGGGAAGGTTATTCTACAATATCAGATGCTTCATCATTCGGATCTTTTCTTTGAAATAATACTGTTTCTTTCATTTCTGTGCGTGTAATGTATTTGTGTGTATCACTTTTATTTAAATAAAAATGAATTTTAAAGTTTTTAAACAAAAACAAAACAAGAGGCTCTCAAGAGCCTGGATCACTCACCTGTAATTTTTTGCTTAAATCTTTCATTAATGATTATTTTTGCTTTTCAATATATATCAATGAGTGGCTTAAAAATACCATTTAAATGTTCTTTGTATCTGTCATATTTTCTTCAAAAGCAAAAAAATGCATTTTATCCCTATGTTCCATTTTAGCCATAGTGGCTATGTTTCTTGACCTGCAAGGAAATAAAATACAAAATTTATACTAGATACTCTGAAACTCATTCAGCCCAAGTTTGGCTGAAATTGATTCAGCAGTTTCAAAGGAGGAGATTTTTTAAAGTAAGCAAACTAGATACAAATTTTGAAAAATTGTCTTTAAAGGGTAATAACTCCTTAAGGGGTCAATTGACAATTTCAGTCATTAAACTTATTTGTAGATCTTACTTTGCTGAACATTTTTGCTGTTTATAGTTTATCTTTATCTATAATAATATTCAAGATAATAACCGAAAACTGCAAAATTTCCTTAAAATCATCAAATCAGGGGCAATAACCTAAAAATCAGATACCTGATATGGCTGATGATTTCAGGGCAAATTAAGTAGATCTTGACCTAATGAATACTTTAACTTCTTGTCTGATTTACTCTGAATGCTTTAGTTTTTGAAATATAAGTCAAAAACTGCATTTTACCATTTAAGCCATGGCGGCCATGTTTTCTGGGGAAACAGAAAATAAAACACCAGCTTTATTCTAGATACCCTAAGGATCATTTAGCTTAAGTTTAGTTTAATTTGGTTCAGTAGTTTCAGAGGAGAAGATCTTTTAAAGTTAGAAAACATGATAAACAAATTGTGTAAAATTGTCTATAAAGGGTGATAACTCCTTAAGGGGTCAATTGACAATTTTGGTCATTAAACTTATTTGTAGATCTTACTTTGCTGAACATTTTTGCTGTTTACAGTTTATCAGTTTATCTTTATCTATAATAATATTCAAGATAATAACCAAAAACTGAAAAATTTCCTTAAAATCACAAATTTGGTAGCAGCAACCCAACAATGGGTTGTTAGATTCATCTGAAAATTTCAGGGCTGATAGAACTTGACCTAATGAACATTTTTAACCAATGTCAGATTGCTCTAAATGCTTTAGTTTTTAAAATATAAGCCAAAAACTGCATTTTACCCCTATGTTCTATTTTTAGCCATGGCGGCCATGTTTTTTGACGAAACAAAAAATAAAACACAAGCTTTATTCTAGATACCCTAGAGATCATTCAGCTTAAGTTTGGTTGGAATTGGTTTAGTAGTTTCAGAGGAGAAGATGTTTAAAATAGTTTACATCGAACGGACGACGACGACGGACGCCAAGTGATGGCAAAAAATGACGGACATGTATAGACCGTATGAAATTAAGAAGATGTGGTTAGATTGACAATGAGACAAATTTCCAACACAGACCAAATGATAGAAAGACGGAGATACCGTACGGTTTTCAACAATGAGCAAAACCTATACCGCATAGCAAGCTATAAAAAGCCCCGAAATGAAAACAATCAAACGAGAAAACTAACGCCCTGATTTATCATGTACAAAACGATAAACGAAAAACAAATATGATATACAGCAACAAACGTGAACCACAGTCTCTTGCAAGATCCCACACACTAAATATAATTACTCATATATATAATAAGTGAAAAATTCACATGACAAAAAACTATAGTTTTTTAAGCAGTCGCTGAACCATGAAAATGAGGTCAAAGACCATGGATACTTGACAGACAGGAACTTCGTAACATAAGGCAACTATATATATACGATATGAAGCATGCAGGTCTTCTCCCTTCTAAAATATATATTTAGCGTTAAGCAAACAGTTTACGCCGCCGCCACATCATCCAATTGATTAGCATCCCTATGTCTCGCATTCTGCTACTATCGTCGTCGCAGGCGAGACACATCATCTGTGATAATAATAAACGGGCTTTCAACTGATTTTTATAGCTTCTTCTTATATTATGCTGATTCGCCACTGTTCCAGGTTAGGGGGAGGGTTTGGCACCAGCAAGCAGATTTAACCCCGCCACCTTCTGTATGTGCCGGTCCCAAGACAGGAGCCTGTAATTCAGTTGTTGTCCTTTGTTGCTGTATATCATATCTGTTTTCCGTTTATTGTTTGTACATAAACCAGGCCTATAGTTTTCTCGTTTGAATTGTTTTACATGTGTCATTTCGGGGCATTTTATATCTTACTATGCGTTATGCGTTTTACTCATTATTGAAGGCTGCGTACGGTGGACTCTAGTTATTAACTTCTATGTCGTTTGGTCACCATCTTCGCTAGCCAAAGGTTACGACCCATTTCTCTCCTCTCCACACTGGTGGAGGGTTGTCTCATTGGCAATCATTTGTTATGTAATATATATATAACGAGTCAATTCCGAATTCACGTATTTAATGCACGACAAGCTCTTATATGATATACATGTACATACATGTAAAACGTCGTTATTCTAAAATTAACAGTAAAGCGGGCGTTTTCAGTAGCGAATTTGCATTGCAGGTGTAAGCATTAAAATGAATCTGTTGCAATGAGATTTGCAATGAAGTTTACAATTCGAGCGCGCTTATATGTCATTGAAAAATGTTCCCTTTACCAAAATTCTCAACGGAGGGATCATAGCTTATTTGGTGAGCATGTTTACAATATTGCCTGTATTCAATAGGACGTGTAGTTTCGTTGATGTTGTGATAAAAATTCGTAAGGGGTTCCGTGGAACCCTGTATCTCGCCTACGATTGCTGCTGTCAGTGTAAAGAGTGTAAATAGATGTTGACTTAAAAAGTGAGGCCATTTATCAGTAAAAAAAAATCAAACTTTCTCTTTAGATGCTATTTCTTGGTCTCGAAGATAAGCTTCTTTCCAAGTTTCATAACAATCCATGAAGGTTAACAAACTTATCATGTTAAAAAACTTTAATCCCAGACTGTGTGCATAGGTGAACTGTAAAAAATTTGCTTACATTAAAAATTCATGTGCATATTTATCTACAGAATTATTTTTCAATTGCATAACTGTGTTTGAAATTTGTTCATCTGTAAATACTCGATATTCTTTAGATAAATCTATATGTGAACAATAATATTTATGTACCTTTTATTTTCCCACTAATTTAGGACACGGAGAAAGACCTGCGTACACACGAATTCAATTTACACCAAAAATGTATATCCAACATGGCCATGACTACATCTGTGGTTGCTCTGGTTTTCTTTCTGTTTTGTTCATTTTGGAATTCGTTGTTGACATTTACTATTTTACCATCATCACCAATGTAACCTTTAGGCATGTAATCAACACTGGCCTTCAAAATTTTGCTCTCATTAAAAAACTGACAGTATTGGTATAAATATTCAGTCAAGACTATATACAATCGAGGTTTCTTTCCATATGCAATAACCGCATTAATCTAGTAAACTATAAATACCCAGATTTCCGAATTGATACATATGGCATTTATTTCTCTCACTTATCTAACTCTTACAGAATTAATCAAACATTGAAAGCGATCGATGTGCTATTTTGGACCGTGATATGATAAATGTCTTATGGTAAACTTCACAAAATCACAACATCCATAAACATTTCGGAAATATAAGTTTATCGACAGATTATAGCTATTCCTATGAACTACATTTGCGCCCCTTTAATAACAAGCTTGTTTCGGTATTTTTACGAATTTAGTTTTCGATGTTGTGTTTTGTGTACTTTTGTTTGTCTGTTGGTCTTTTTCTTTTTTAGCCATGGCGTTGTCAGTTTATTTTTTGACTTATGAGTTTGAATGTCCCTTTGATAACTTTTGCTTCTCTTTCAAAGGTTCACATATTTAAATTACATACAGCGACCAGATATCTTTGCAATCAAAAGGAATCGAAGTCATGATTGCTATAAATTGGAACAATGGTTTCAGAGAAGTGATTTTAAAAAAAATCTTTACATTTACTGAAAACGGACAACAATTACCAAGGTTACATGATGACAATACTGAATAGCTGTATTATTGGGTTGATATTCAATTGACATGCACCAAATGATATACCTAAATTTATGCATACTACATGTAACAGTCCATGAAGGTCTATATGGAATTTACAGAAAAAATAAAAAATAGATAAAAACGGGCCAACAATATAAAGAATCAACAATAATAGGATGCTTAAATATAAAGAATAGAGACTAAAGGGCAAATAATAAAGAATACTAGAAGATAAAATACAGAACTGAAGAATTTTAAAACTATCACTATTCCAGACCTCATCCTTGTGCAACCAGATCTATCACAGGGAACATGTGTACTAAGTTTCAAGTTGATTGGACTTCAACTTCATCAAAAACTACCTTGACCAAAATAATATAAGATAATATATTGAAAATCAAACTCTTATTTATTTTCTTTATTCAAATATAAATATAGCTTCTATTATAAATATCACAGTCTAGCAATACAGCACATGAATTTATCACAAATACACATTAAATAAATCAAAAGATTGAGTATTTCAAAATTAATAATTTATTATTTGTCTCAAAATACTGCTTAATTCATTTCATCAAATTATAAATTATATTGTGTGACTGCACCCTTTTCTATTTGGTTCCTTTGTTAGAAGATTGGTCATGTTTATTGGCCCAGTCTAGAGTTATCAAGGGGCATTATATTTTCTGGTCTGTGCATCTGTCCATCCGTTAGTCCATTAGACCCTTATTAAGTAAAAGTTTAAGATTACGGTAGTTTTTCTATATAACCTAATCATGCATGATTTCCTTTTTACATGTTGCTGCAAAGGCAAGACCAAATTACAGTGAGAAAACTTGTCACTATTGAATTTGACTGATACAGAACTAAAAGCTTTATCATAAGAAAAAACTTCCAGAAAACAATCCTCCACTTATACAAAAAGAGAAATGGTTTTACATTTTTAAAATAAATTCAATACAATGGAAAATCACATTTAATAATGGCACCTTGGTCTTTAAATCTAACTAATATGATAATTTTCTATTAAGCCCTGTTGAGTTTCACAAACTACAAATATATAGTGAAAACAATTTGTAATACTGCAATTCCTTAATCTGATTGAAATATAGATTTTATGTCTGCGCTTTGTTTACAAGGATCTGACAATAATCCATTCTACTTTCTGTTATAAAGACCTTTCGGGATCCTCTGGATTTGTCTTAATGATACACACCTTCATAAATTTGAAGGCTGAAATTTTATTGGCTGATGTAATAATTACCAAAACAGAAAGTAGAACAGAGAGTTGTAAGCAAAACTTGGGTACAGGATCTGTATCCTAATCAGATTGGCAATTCTACATCTTAAATGACTAGACAAAAAGTGTAATAAAAAGCCTCATGGAATCTTTTAACTATCACAGACACAATTGTAACATAAATTAAATATTTTTGCTAAAGTGCAATAAAATTATAACATACATGTACAAATAGTGATATTTTTTTGTTAAAATTAACAAATTCCTAAATAGTCAATCCAGGGGCTGGGGATGGGAATAATCTTTGAAAATATTGAACCCCATAATTTAAGTGAATGACATTAACTTCATAAACAGTTGCCTGTGGAGGAAGTTAGAATCTTCAATTTTTAAGCCATCTTTCACGGATATTAAAAGAGTTCTAAAACCATCAGAACAATTACTTTTACGTTCACCATACTTTTTTTAAAGCTATTTGTGATGTTACTTAAGGTGTCAATGCATTAATAACTAGATTCAATTGAAACTGATTACAAATATTTTTGAACGGAATAATTTAACAGCAAAAATAAAAAAATCACAAAATTTTTATGTTTGGTTCCAAAATTGATTGTGGAATTTCTGTGAGAATTATAAGAAAACTGAAAATTTTAAAATTATTGGTGGTTGCATGGATATAAAAAAAAAGTGCCTCCAATGTATCCAATTTTGGAACAGTCCAAAAAAAAAAAAAATATGGCATTGTATTTTTTACAATTCTACAACAATTCTGTCAAAAATTTCAAATGAAGGAGGGAGGGGGGACATGATTATTTCCCCTTAAGGTGTTACAAAAAACTGAACCTCAATTCATGTCCAAACCAGTGTATTGAAGCTTGCCTGACAACTTAGTCTTAATTTACAATTAGTAATATTACTTATTTAAACAGCAATGGAGTGAATAGAAATATTTTAGTGTTTAAAATTGGACGAACAACATCTAAAACACAATCAAGATTGAATGTAAGAGTTGAAAATTATCATTGAAATGATATAAAATTTAGTCCATATTAAAACAGATTGAGCGTCTCATAACATTTTCAAAATAAGGATATAAGCCATGGATGACTGGAATAACCTTCCTTTTCCTTTCTTTAAGAAGTGACATGGGCAAAATTAAGATTGAAACAACAGAAATCCCTTTCTTGGTAAACTTCAGTCGTCATGATTATCCACAAGCCCTACTGGCCAGGCCAGTAAAGTTTGTCTTATAAGAGGCCTTACAAGCCAAATAAATTGAAAGAAATATTATGAAAGACTGATTTTCCAGCTTATAAGTCAATAAGCTTTTCCATTAAAACTAAAACTTTGACAACAAAATGTAAAATGATGCAGATTTCTATATGACATTGGGGCTGCCTCCAAAAACTGTGTTGTGCTATATCATCATCATATTTATCAATTTTTTTTTTAAATGATTAAAATTTATAACAAGAGATTTTTAATGAAATTAAAACAACAAATATGTCAAATGGCTGTTTTAGCAGTTCGAGATTGCTCTAATGTCTACAGATTTTGCAGGCCAGTCTGTCAGATATCAGATCAGTCAACTAGGTTATATTTAGAAATTAACAGATAGGCAGATAACAATATCATCAACAGATACTTAAATTGACAAGTATTGTCTCATCTGCTACTAATTTTGTTGTAGGTAAAATAAAAACCTTTTGAACTATTATAATTAAATAAACAATGTAAATATGACAATTCCTATGCAGGAACGAGATTTTTTTAATAACTGAACCAAGCCAGATTCACTAATAGCACCATTATTGAACAAAACATCTACATGAACTATAAATACTCTCTACAGGTATCTGGAGAAAAGACATAATTTACTTTCAAATATCAAATTTATCAAACTTGCAATAGGCAATTGAAGATGGTTCTCATTTGAGTTATCTCCCATTTATCAGGATTGATCTCAACTAAAAAAATAACTTAAATGTAAACAGCTTATGAGTTCCCCCACAAATACACTTGATTTCGATCATTATCATTCCATCAAAATAATTTGGTTTACGACGACTTTTTTCAACCTCATTTGGATGTCAATAAGTTGAGGAAAGGAATGAATGCATATCTTAATTGTCATAATCTCCATATTTTGGCTAAAAAAATGTAATAAATGGTAAAATAAACATATTCTGATGATAAAATTGAATATCGTACATAGGAATGCAGTGACGTTTAAATAATTCTAAGTGGACACAATGACCTTGTTTCATGGATGATGGGATCCAGTTTGCCAATAAAATGCGTAAATGACGTCAAATTTAGTATAAAGGAAGACAGTTTTTCTAGGTCAGGAAAATGGTATGGCTAACTATCATTATACAGTGGGTTCCTTATTAACCTTGGGATACCAATTTTTTGGGATTTCAGGGGTAAATGTGCACCCCAAATTTAAAGGTTCATCAAAGTATACATTTTTAATAGGTTTGTATGCAAACTTCGGCAAAACCACGAATCAAATATCCACGAAAATACAAATTTCCCTCAAATTCAATTCATGAAAATTGGTGCCCATGAAAATAAATTAATCAACAAAACCTATGTCTGATAATTCTGATATCTAATCTGATTTTGGAATTCTGGTAAAGTTACAAAACGTCTGATCTGCACATTACTATAACATCAACAATATGACTTTACATAATCAAAACAAACAGAATTAATACAAATTATTGGTTTTCAGTAATTTTTTCATCTTTTTTTGGGCAAATCTAACCCCCCACAAAAACGTATTTCAAAATTTGTCTAATTTAGAGTAAAAAAGCTGAAAGTATTATATATTTATGTTTTTGTAAACGTTAAACTTGTAAACCTTTAACTTAGCAAATTGTGTTGAAATTAGTCTATCTATTTCTAAAAATGATACAATCTTCAGCATGGGGAAAATGTGATCAATAATTACACCCCACAATCTTCAGCATGGGAAAAATGTGATCAATAATTATTCTCCACAATCTTTTTTTGTGGTTAATTAACAGCCAAGTTATCCTAAAAGGTATTTGTGCCTTTCAATTACAAAAAAACATTAATCATACTGCATCAATATGTAGTAGGTTCTGTCTGCAGTACAATTTTATTTGATATTTGACATTCCCCTCGAGGATTACACCCTAAGATTACAAACTGATATTCTATGCTAGACTCTAATCCAAATACACGATGGTCTTGTCTGCCATATAAAGGAATGGTTTTCCATGCTCTACTCTGACCTAATGGTCTGTATAAGAGAAAATGAGATATTTGTTGGTCCACTGTGATGTCCTGCGGACTTGAGCTGTACACTTGTATTGAGGACGTAAACTGGCGACATAAGCTTTCAACTATCACAGGCACTGCAAAAAGAATACAGCATATTTCAATTATATTTTAAACCTTGCATTATATTGACACAAAACTTGCCATTTCAGAATCTGATGCAGTCAAGGTATAACATTTTCAAAAGCTACTTCATAATGTTGTGATTGATTGATAGATTGATTAGTGTTTGCATTACAGTGCATCAGCGCAAAATGCTGAAGCGAAAAGGGCTAAATCCTGGCCAATGTTATTATTAACTAGTACTAACTATAGACCAAACAATGCAAATTGAGCTAATAAAGCAATGTTATTTTTGTACTTGGATATTAACATTGAAATTAATCATATTCCATTTAGATTCTGAATCAACTTTTGATTTTGCCATTTAGTAAGGGACTTTCCGTTTTGAATTTTCCTTGGAGTTCAGTGTTTTTGTTATTTTACTTTTTGTTTAACATGATTCAATAACATGGTTAAAAGTTAGTTTTTTTTCTTCATCAAGTCAGATATGTAATTTGTTATAACAAGCAAAGATCCTTTTTGTTGATCTATGGGCTATGTTTCCATCCCAAAAAACAATGTGAATTGGTTTGTAACTTTCATTGAATTTGGTTGAAAATTGAAATTGATGCTAATCGTGACGTCATAAAAAATGCTGATATGTAAATTTTCAATAATAAACATATTTTCTATCTTATAGTCATTATTTCAACTATGATTTGTTGTGATATTAGAAATTGTTTCACATTTTGTTATGTCAAATTGTCAAGGCAATTTATAGCTTACTATATATACTGTTTGGGATTTGCTCATTGTTGAAGGTTGTAAAGTGACATATAATATCGTTGCTTACATCTACATCATTTGGTCTCTGTTGGATAGTTATTTCATTAACAATCATACCATATCTCCTTATTTTTATATTAAATGCTAACTTGCAATTTAAGGATGTTTGCTACTCTGTTTCAAAATAATAAGCTATTTAAAAGAGTGATGTAAATTGGTAGTATATAAATAAAAGAACTAAAAAAGCAGATAAAAATGAAGGGTCTGTGTGCTTGTTTTCGAGATATACGCCATTGAAAATTTGGCAGGAAATGATTCTCTCTAGATTTTTCATATATTTAACATTAGCACCTTTTTTCTGTCTAAAAGTATGAAAAAATAACGGATTTAATAAGATTTTTCAAAGATGGCATTTTAAACTATATCTAATCAAATTATGAAAAGAAAAGTAGGGGTTAGTGGGCAAAAAATTTTAATGGCACTACATGGATAAAACCAGAGGATTCCAAATATCTGGCAAAAATTCAAAAACAAGAGGAGCGAACATCCTTAAGCGAGAAGTAGAGGCCATTTTTGGCCCTTATAGCTCTACCTGGTATAACACTTTCACTATGCATCAAAGTTGTACATTGCACCACTTCAGAATTAGGGGATTTCCCTGCCAAGTTGCTAGCACTAACACAGAAATAGTATGTGGTCCCTTTACACAGGTTGTCTAGCAGTATAACTACATTGGCATTATTGTGTGGCAGGCCCTTGGCCACTAGTCTGTCATCTGGTACATTCTTCACTATCACAGTTTCCTGAAAAATGAAAATAAGACGCTACTAATAAGGATACATTTATAAGAATGAACTCTCCTACAATCATTATCAAGTAAGGGCTGTTCCCAAATATTAGTGGGGGATAAGAGGCACTCAAATTAATAAAATGAGTGGTTGCATTTTTCCTAGAATTTGTAAGAATCATAAGAAAATTGAAAATCTTTATTTCATGGGTGATCAAGGTTTTAAAAAGTTCCATAAATGCCTTTATAACATTAAGAAGATGTAGTATGATTTCCAATGAGACAACTATCCCCAAGAGATAAAATGTCTGTAACAAAGATGTATTTAAGCAAATTTGTCAATAAAAAACTTATAATAATTAATGACTTAACCTCCATACAAATATAATACTAAAGGAAATATTTTTGACAGATATAGTTAACAGAAGATGATCCTTTTTGAAAATGTACTTATAAATACCACAGTGAAATGTTTTGAGTTTGTTAACTTGTGCAGTAAAATGCCTACTGCTAACGTTAACATCACGAAATTCAGACACCCCAAAAATTTCCACATCTACTGTAGGAAATGCAATTTAACAAAAAGGATCTTTATCATAGAAATCATCATATTTGTTCATTTTATTTCTCATGTTATCTGAGGACTTGTCAACTTATATTTTGCCCATTATTATGAGTACCAATGCATATGCTCATTGCAAAAATTTTCTGCTTAAATGCTAAAAAAATATAGGGCTCATCTTTTAACACAATGTGAAAATTATAATGTGCATGAACAAAATTATATGAGCACTGGTATCAAAAATACCAAAAATATCTATGTTTGTCTATTGTAGATGGGGCCTCGGTGGCCGAGTGGTCTAAGTAGTTACTACTGTAATCACTAGCCAGTCAACACTGAGGTTGTGAGTTTGAACCCTGCTCATGCGGGTGCACTCGACTCCAATCTTAATTGACTAGGAATGTCAGTTTTCCTATTGAAGGTCGGTGGTTTTCTCCGGGCACTCCGGCTTCCTCCACCAATAAAAACTGGCCGCAACGAAATAGCCCAAAAGCGGTGCTTAAAAGTGTCGTTAAAACACCAAAAATCAAAATCAAATCTATTGTAGATTCATTAATATTCGAGAAATGCCAATTTTAATGGATTTCTATAGTATAGGTAAACTTTGAATTAAAATGTTGCATGCAGACTTTGACAAAACCCAACAATAAATTATCCACAAAAATACAGTTTTTCCCCTATTCACAAAAATAAATGAATTGACAGTATAAACAAACCTCAATTTCAAGAGACTTCTGCTCTTCAGAACAATAATGAATTTCATACTGATCAATAACATCATGTATACTTTGTGGTGCTGATAAAACAAGTACTACACAGTCCTCACTCCTTGTACACCGACTTACATCAACTATTGGTGTCATGGGTGCTACAAAATGACAAATTGATAACAAAATAATGTTTGCTGCTGAATTTTAAAATTACAGTTCCCATTATTCTCCATCAATATATAATTCCTCAACTTTATCGCAAAATAATAATAGGTGCTCATTTTTAAGATATGTGCCTTGGAAAACTCATTTTTAAGATAATGTGCCTTGGAAAACTCATTTTTAAGATATGTGTCTTGGAAAATTCATTTTTATGATATGTGCCTTGGAAAACTAAGAAATTTTAGTGTGAAAAAGATGTCCCTGTATTTATTATATCAAATGCATGTAAAGAAATGAATTCTAAATGATATGGAAAATATATTATAAATAAGAATTTGGAAACATTTTGCCATAAATTACATTTGAGATATAATTTTTTTTTTTAAATTATGAATAAATTGTAAGCTGCTTAGAAACACAGATCAATTTAATTCTGTTTCATATGAATGCTTAAAGGATTGTTGAAACTCAATGTCTATTGCAAATTATGCATTACTTATTTTAGGAATTATCTCCCTTTGAACAGACATTTCCCCCCTTAAGTAAATGCTAATAATCACAATTACTAGATAATTTTGCTCATCTTTTTGCACACTTGATATCATTTTAAGTTTTTAAAAGAAATTGTTTTTTCTAAAGATTAACTTTCAGAATTAGATTTATATTATAATCCATTCCCCTTTCAAAAAACATTTAACTCAGCTCAGTTTTTGCTGTTATTAAGTAAAAACTTATCTAAAGGATCTAACATATTGATTTTAGTCGAAATAAATACTTGAAATGTACAACTGATGCTAAAATCACACTAAACTATTGTAAATTTGAAAATTTTTGCTTGCATCTATTACTGCAATTGTTGAACATAAGACTCTTTAGAATCTAAAGGAATATGGTTAATCTCATTGTTTGTATACCAAAAATGAAAATAACGTTAGGTCATTGGTTGAATTTACATTGTTTAGGTTTTTAAACCAATCACAACAAATTGGTGTACATTTTTGGGAAATATTACCAAGAACGCGTTAGATTCTGAAACAGCGAATTGACAAAAATGTCAAATTAATTATTGTGATTTTAAGAAATGGAGCATACAAATAAAGCTTACATATTCCAAAGTTAAAATGTAAGTTTTTTTTTGTAAATCTTATCCCATGATTCCCATGGCCATTATTAGCAATAATAAAAACATCACAAACATTTCTAAAATAACAATGAAACTGCTTACCAGACAAGTAATGAAGGTCTCTTAGTACACCTTTCTCTCGTCTAAAGTCCACAACTTTTGTTGTTAAGGATTCTAAATCACTCTGCTGACTTTGAACACTTTGACAATCAATGCTTGCTTTAAGTAACCTGCCAAAAAAAGAAATACAAAGTAAATTCCAGTTTAATAGACGTTTGAGATTTGAAAAATAATATATGTTTTGGTAGGAAAAAGATAAGTGTACAATTTCATGGCAGGTTGACTTCACAACTGGTATTTGTTTATAGTTTTCTGCCTATCATATAGCATTTTGTAGTAATAACAAATACTGGTCAGCTTGATGTCAATATAAAAGGCCTGGTTTAGGTGAAATGTCTACCTCTAAATAAATTGTAACCTTGTGAAATAGACTAAAAAAATCCATGTTAAACAAATGCGGTATACCAGTCTGGTAAAATCAGTATATATTTATATGACATATTATGTCCTGAATATGCATGTAATATTTGCTGCATGATTTTAAGCAGCTAATAATAAAATTATAATACAGATATTCTGAGATATGGTGTGTTTGTTTCAAGTCTGATTTTGTCTTAATCTCGAATACACTAAAAGTGGATTATTAGAATCACAAGGAAACCCAAATGTTGTGTTTCTTCAATTTATATGTTTTTATTTGACTCAAATAGATGAACTAACAAAAATTAAAAAAAAAGGTCTACTCACTTGTCATTTAAGGAACAGGCCTCCTGAAAATACAAATGATAATTTTTAAAACTTTGTTATCTCCCCTAAACTGCTTATTTATTATTTATGATATTTGCAATTGGGTAAATTGATTTGCTTTTTAATTTTATAGTATAACTTCACTTATAAACTATCGTATTTGTGAATTTGTTTTAGACATTTCTATTTCTTGTCTTGAAATCTATAAGTCATTTGTTCAAGTGTTTTATAATCAGACACAACATTCCAATTGACACTGTTAAATTTGAAACTACTTTTTAATAAAAAATAAATATCAAATAACTAATAATTTGAAAATAAACTGCAGACAGCTATCAACTATGAACAGAAGTTAGATAAAAAAAATGTTCCTGTACATGATGTTTTATTATTCTTAAGTTTAATAATACCTCTAGGAATTCTGGGACATTTTCTTTGAGAAGTTCTTTAGCAAAGTTTTGTAGTGCTTGAGATGACCCCTGTATTCTTTCAATGGCTTTCACCATGTCTTCCATGTCATTTTGTCTTATTCTTTCTTCATATTCAAGGTCAGCAAGGAAAAAATTCCTTTTATTTTCTATTTCTGCCATTAATGCATCACAATGCATATTAATTTCATCTCTTCTTCTATTTATAGCTTGCTGTTATAAAAAAAAGATAAAAAGTTTTACATTCCTGACGACTCAACCATAAGAGACATATAATACAAGAGACAGGAAACTAGGTGACATATATTTATTTCACGCTATTCTCGTGCTTGGATTAAAAATGCCTAAGTACAAATCTAAATCTCCTTTTCTAACATATTACAAAAATTTATAACAAATACCTAAGAAATCCTCTACATTTTCAGGTCTGTATATGAAAAAGTAGTTTGAAATTTTTTGGGTAAATATAAATGTCTTTTAAATGTAATATTTTCATCAATTCTTTGAAAATTAAAGAAAAAGTAGATGAAGTTATCTCCCATTACACACTGGATGTGGCAATATCCATATTTATAAGACGTAGCATTATATATGCTTGCTGCTCATGTATAAATACTATAATTATGCATTTAATCATTTTTCTTTATCACTTATCAATTCAATAGAAATTAAAAAGATCACACTCATGACTGCAAGAATTCAAAAACAGATTTGAATCTATTTAGGATGTCAGATTTTACCATCATCAACATTTTAAATTCTCTGTTGAGGAAACTTAAAAAAGACATCATGTGTCATGTAAATAAAATAAACTTTTAAATTAAACAAAATATCATTGTGTTTTTGTTTTTCAATCTGTTTTCATTTTGGGCCACGGTGCTTAAGTGGTCTAGTTAAGAAGTTCATTTACAGCAATCACTATCCTGTCAACACTGAGATTGTGTGTTACTGATACATTGCAAGTGCCTTTGATTTTAAATAAACTTAATTGACTAGGAATGCCAGTTTTCCTGCTGAAGGTTGTAGTTTTTTAATGGTACTTCAGCTTCCTTTACCAATAAAAACTGGACAAAACAGTAAAGTCGAGCATGCTGAAATTGGTGTTAAACAACAAGTAATCAATCTATTTTCTATCTAATTATACCATGGATGATGAATTTAAAAGTCATCCTGATTAAGAACTAATACCTACCTGCATATCCTTTAGGTTATCTCTCTGACATTTTAATGAAGTTGTTACATGTGCTTGACTGGTGTCTAGTTTGGATAAACTGTTATTTAATGAAATCTGAAAAATAATTTGAAAAAATAGAGTTATCTCCCATTAACAGATTGTAACATTCATATTTATTCAGGTGTCAAACCACCAATTCAAAATCCCTATATATTCAACCATACAATTTTAACAGCTCTCTCCTATATCTTACTGTAAGTTTTTAACTTAATACTTAGAACAATATAAACTGTGAAACTACTATAAATATGGGATGCAGTGGTGTGTATCTTGTGTTGCTGAGTCTAGTTAGACAAGAGAGAAAGACAGGAATTCTCTTTCAAAAGGTCAATAGAATAAGAACAGCAGAAGTATATTTTGCAAGAGTTGACAGTGTTGGTTAAGATTTCATGGTCACCTCGTTATCTTATATATTTTACTTCTAAAAGTTACGACTTAGTCTATATTCCTTCTGTGAGCAACATATTATTATACAATTTACAACAAAAGGTAAACCTTCTTGATATTATTGAGATTTTATTTAGGGGATTTAACAATTTATCAGTTTACAGATACAAAACACAATTCTGGATTTTGGAACACAAGAGTTACTATCAACATTTGTTCACCAATAGTAATATATATCAACAGTGAATAGCAGATCACAAATCCGGATTTTTGAACAAGCGAGTTATTATCAAGATGTGTTCACTAACATATCAATAGTGAACAGAAGATGAGCATGTGAATACAATTTTTTTTGTTTCTTTCACCTATGAATGAGTTTCCATGGATCTACTACAACTGCTCAGTCCTTAACATTATTCAGATTTACAAAGTTAACTATAAAAAAATGGAATAGTCAGATTTCCCTGTTAAAAAATGGAATGGACTTCTAAATAAACTGTTCCATACCAGATTTCCATGTTGAAAAATAGGTGGGACCTTTAAATGAACTATTCCATACCAGATTTCCTAGTTTGAAAATGGAATGGACTTATAAATAAACTATTCCATAACAGATTACCCTGTTTAAAAATGGAATGGACTTTTAAATGAACTATACCATACCAGATTTCCTAGATTTAAAATGAAATTGACTTTTAATGATCTATTCCATACCAAATTTCCTAGTTCAAAAATGGAATGGACTTTTAAATGAACTACTTCATACCAGTCAGATTTCCTAGTATACAAATGGAATGGACTTTTAAGTTACTATTCCATACCAGATTTCGCTGTTTAAAAATGGAATGGACTTTTAAATGAACTGTTCCATACCAGATTTCTTAGTTTAAAAATGGAATGGACTTATAAATAAACTATTCCATACCAGATTTTGCTGTTTAAAAATGGAATGGACTTTTAAATAAACTATTCCATACCAGATTTTGCTGTTTAAAAATGGAATGGACTTTTAATAGTAACATCCTATACAGATTTCCCTGAATTGTGCGTTCTTCACCTTTCTACATGCCAATTTTCGACCAAAGCTTAATGTCTTCTTTTGACAAATGACATTCAAGAAGTCACCTACTACTAAAAATAGCATTCTGGTTTTCCAAAAATCTCCTAAAGCAAATATGTATCAAATATACCCTAAAATTGTAAATTTAAACTCAAATTGATCCAAATATAGCTCTCATTCTGCAAAAGGTTTAATTGTGTAAATCCATTTGACATGTGTAAGTAAAAACAATACATGTATAAAAAAAAACTGTATTTTGTCAGAGTATGGCTACTTTTACATATGTTTTCAATATGATTGGTTGTAAGATACCTTCAGTGATTTTGAGTTTTTTTATTTTTATGTTTCTTTTTTATGATTTTTTTATTTTCTTGACAAAGGACATATACTTGAGCAGTATGAAATCAAAAAGCATATCTATTTTTTGTAATTACCTTCAAGTCTGAATATGCATCTTCAATCAAGATTATGCTATGTCCTCTATGGCACTCCATACTATTACACTTAGTACAACATGACTGTGAACATTCAGAACAATATAAACTTAATTTCTCTTTATGTAATGAGCACTTTCCTGAATGAGAAAACGTCTGTATAGGTTCAGTCTTTTTAATGAGATCTGTCCTTGGTTCCACTATTTCATGACTTGAATATGGCTCTCTGGATGGATGAGAATGTCTAAAGCACCTGCTGCAGTATGAGGAACAACAATCAAGGCAAGATTTTTTGGCAAGTTTTTTCAGTGATGAATCACAATGCTGGCATAAAATAGGATTTTCTGCAACTTGTTCTATAATTGGTTGAACTACATCTTCCTTTACAGGTGAAGAAGATTTTTGTTTTTCTTTCTCTCCTTTCTGCTGGTCTTCTTTGTATCTACATATTATATTTTCAAGGGCTAGAACTCTTGGCAGACTACTAATTCCTCCGCTAACATAACAGTTATCCCTACACACAGGACAGCGAATAAAATTAAAATCAAACAGGTGTTCAGCACATGGTTCTCGACATAAAACATGCGAACAGGGAAGGATGATTGGATAAGAATATAGTTCTAAACACACTGGACATTGTAGATCATCATCGACATCCATCTTTATGTTGTGGCTTGAATTGCTAGACTTGGAGGATTTTGACCGATGTGATGTCACAGGTTGGGCTGACCAGTCTATGCTGGACCACAAAGCAGCATTGTTGTTCTAAAAATATAAATAAATAAAAAGGAAATCAGTAATAATACAACATATTGTTTGTTTCTGTTAATCTTTATTTATAGTAACAAATGCCATCTTAATTTACATCTAAGGAATGTTACTTGATGATTTGGACCACAATTACTGCAAACTAACCACTGGATTAAATTGGATAAGATAATGTAAAAGTTTATACATGCATTACTGAAATTTCATTTGTTTATACATGCAATACTGTAATTTCATTTATGTTCATGGGTGCAAATTTTCGTGGATTTTGGAAAATAGTATTTTCGTGGATATTTGATTTTGTGGTTTTGCAAAAGTTTGTATACACATACCATATAGAAAATTTACACTTCTTTGAACATTTAAATTCATATTTTCGCTCTTTCAACTAAATCATAAAAAATCGTTACCCAAGGAATAATAATGAATTCACAGCACTAAATATCTAAGTTAAGGGAGGACACACTTAAATATCTCGCCTGCATTGTTCAATAATTAATACCAGTCTACCCGATCATCAGGTGTTACATGCTGGTCTAGTAACTAAAATCATAATTTAATTTTTATTCAGTCATTGCATACATAATATGGACTCAGTCTATCAAGCTCTTCTGCCATCTGATATACACCGTTAAAGCTTTATATACATAAAGTTTATGCCACAGTTAACACTGGTCAATTAGCATTTATATGTATGACTTTTAGAGAAAATTGTACCAGGCCAGACCAAAACCTTTCACAATGTTTAATGATTTGAACCACTAATGTTTTCTACCCCAGGCATTACATAAGATTGCCTAAGTCATATTTGGCAAAACTTCTCAGAATTTTTGGTTTTTTAATGCTATTCAACTTCATATATGATTTGAACTTCAAACTGTTTTAATCCAAGTCCCACTGATGAGTCTTATGTAGATGAAACATGTGTATAGTGTACTGAATTACCTGAGCCTGGTATCTTTGACAAGTTTTCATACTGATCCTTTGGCAAGGTGAGCTTAGATAGCTTGTTTAAAATTCATAAAATTGTACCTATCACTTTACATGCACAACTTTCATAAAACTTTAACTATCTCCTATACGCACCCTTTAAACATGTTAAACAGTAAGTTTAGAAGGTGACGAGATAGAATTCGTTACATTCAATTGACAGGTTACTTTAGTTATGTCATACAACAAAGGTGTGAAGAGGATTTAATAACGATTATGGAAAGATTTATTATTGACAAAATATCTTTGTACCTTCGATTCTCTGATATTTTTATCATTAAAAGTTAATATAAACTGTCCATAAAGATAGGCTACTGCTATTTTAAAACAAAATTCAATACTGTAAAATATTTTGTATTTTATACTTGTCTTGAACAGAATGAAATGTGGGAGAGTTTAGATACAAGTATAATTTCTAAGTATTGTACAATAAGCCTTAATCCAGATGGAATATACATTTATACATTTCTGCACAATTTGACCTAGGGGATATTTTCAAAGACCCGGGCCATCTAATTCAGCAGATAAAAAATTTCCATACAAGAGGCAAATATTTATTTTGATTGAATAATTGTTGGTTGCTTAACGTCTAGTGACAAATATTCAAGTTCAGGACGAGAACAAATTTACAATAAATTAACTAGAGGCTCTCAAGAGCCTGTGTCGCTCACCTGTATTTACTGATGCTTTGGAAATCATGTAAAATAAGGTTAAAATCATAATTAATAGTATTAGATATTAGATATTATAATGATATCTAAGAAAATAACAAAAAACTGCAAAATTTCTGTAAAATTACTAACTCAGGGGCAGCAACCCAACAACGGGTTGTCGGATTCGTCTGAAAATTTCAGGGCAGATAAATCTAAATCTGATGAACAGATTTGCTCTAAATGCTTTGGTTTCAGAGATATAAACCAAAAACTGCATTTTATCCCTATGTTCTATTTTCAACCATGTTGGCCATGATGGTTGGAAGGCAGGGTCATCGGACAAATTTTTTAAACTAAATACCCTAATAATGATTATGGCCAGGTATGGTTAAATTTGTCTCAGTAATTTCAGAGAAGAAGATTTTTGTAAAAGATTACAAAAATTTACGAAAAATTGTTAAAAATTGACTATAAAGGGCAATAACTCCTTAAGGGGTCAACTGACCATTTTGGTCATGTTGACTTATTTGTAGATCTTACTTTGTTGAAAAATAATTTATTGCGGTTTACAGTTTATCTCTATCTATAATAATATTCAAGATAACCAAAAACGGCAAAATTTCCTTAAAATTACCAATGCAGGGGCAGCAACCCAATGACAAGTTGTCCCATTCATCTGAAAATTTCAAGGCAGATAGATCTTGACCTGATAAACAATGTTACCCCTATGTTCTATTTTTAGCCATGGTGGCCATCCTGGTTGGTTGGCCAGGTCAACGGACACATTTTTTAAACTAGATACCCCAATGATGATTGTGGCCAAGTTTGGTTAAATTTGGCCCAGTAGTTTCAGAGGAGAAGATTTTTGTAAAGTTAACGGACGACAGACGCCAAGTGATGAGAAAAGCTCACTTGGCCCTTTGGGCCAGGTGAGCTAAAAGGGAAGGTCCTGTAATAGAGGATGTCCCGGATGAAGGTCAGGAAAATTTGGACTGCCACTGGAAAATTAGGGTATATTATATAGGGACAGAAATTTTGCCCCTCTAAGAGTTGTTGCAAGGATTCTTAACCATGCAGAGAGCACTGGACATACTCTCTTCACAAGGCATCAGATTTAACGTCCCCATTCTGACTGACATGGTTGCGTACATGTACATCCTGCACAGCCAAATGCACACAATAATAATGGCCACTTTGGCAAGGGTTTAACTGCCGATCGCAAGAAGACCTAAGTGACCATATTTCTATTCCCCAGTCACCCTTGAGGTGGTGGTTTGGGGGGGGGGGGGGGGTGTGTTGAGGTTAAGCCTGAGGTAATAGGCAAGCATTCTATTATGATGTAAACAAGTCATAATTGCAAGAGACATTAATTTGTATTTGAAAAAAAAAAAAATTTTAAATGTGTATACACTGCTTTAACCTAAAAATACCTATCTTATGCTTTCTAGGACTTAAAAGTTTTCATTATACCTGGCAAACTAATTTTGATGCAGAAAATAAGTCAGGTATACATTGTCAGTCATTTTGACATATTAAAAATTATCATATAAACTGAAACTGAAATCACATACCATATACCATGTTAAATCAACAGAATCATCCATTATCAATGAAAATGTTTCTTCAAAAAACCACCAAAGTTTAAATTGCTAATAAAATCTTCCCATTACCATATGGAACAGCTTTCATTTTGAAAGTCTTCCAATGGATAAATTCTGGCAATACACAGTTTTACCATAATCCAGTTTAATCAGCTTAAGATTAAAGTTAACACCATTTCACAGTGGAAATTTGACATATATGTCTGCTTGTATTATAATCCTTTTACTTTTCTTATAATCAATACATAAAGGAAACTAAAAATTAAATACACAAATAGTTTGTATGTACAGAGACAGCAGTAAACAATGTCCAGAATGAGGAAATATCAATTTTTATGTTTCAGTGTTTAATGAAAATCAATAGTTTTAAATAACCAATTTCCTTGACAAAAAGTATAAAGACCTTAAATTTAGATGACTTTGCAGAATATTTTATCATTCAAAAGAGATGTTGGGTATTTTTCAATGAGACAGCAACCCAAGGACACAAAAAATATCTAGACAACCCATTGACAAATTCTAATCAATAAGGTTTTCTAGAGGGAAAACTGATGTCATACTGTAAATGTTTTTCTATAAACACCATGCAATTCCTTGTCTAAAAATAATACTACTTTCTAATTCTGAAAGATTTCTAAAAGAGAGGTGAAAGATACCAAAGAGATGTTCAAAGTCGAAAACAAATTGACAATGTCATGGCAAAAGACGAAAAAACTACCAAAAGACAAACAGTATACAAAACACAACACGGAAAACTATAATTACTGATCAACAAAAACGTAACCAAAAACAGGGGGGAATTGCTCCAGAAGGGTAAGCAGATCCAGCTCCACGCGCTGTTAACATTATAATAGATTTTGACTAAAACCCTTAAGTTCTTATAATCTATTTATTTGTTTATTAATGTCTCCTGATAATTTACATTAAAAAGTTAAAAATGCTATAGATTTTATAACTGGTATAAATGCTGAAATGATATTATAAGAAAAAAAAATAAATTCATTATTTCAATTTGCTGCATGCTATCTTTATCAGGCAATTAGGATTGCAATGTATCCCAACATGCAAACAAACTCCAAATCCAGAGCCTGTAATTCAGAGTGGTTTACATTGGTTGCTAGTCTGTTATATTTGTTTTTTCTTTTTTTTTCAAGAGGTAAATCAGCTATTGTATTTTTTCATTGAATTGTTTCACAATTTTTTATGCTGGGGCCTTTATAGCTGACTATGTAGGATATGGGATTTTGATCGTTGTTGAAGGCTGTATGGTGACCTCTAGTTACTTTAATTCATGTCAATCTGTCACTGTTGCATAGTTGTCTCAATAATATTGTCAATTATACCACATATACCCTTATCTTTTATATGTATAAACAAAAATTTTCAACATACCTCACAATTCTAAAGCTTTGATTTTCCTATTTTTCCTCTGAAATATGTCTGATTAAGCTAACAATAGGAATCAGTATGCCCCTTTCACTTTTTTAAAACTGCCACAAAATTTAATTCAACAGTCAACTGTTAAAATCTTGACAGTTTGCTACTAACATATTCAGGTGCATTTATAATAAAGGTATAAAGCAGCGTAATCATACATGAAATTTATTATTCAATTTCATACTTCGGAGGTAAATTTCATTAAAATACCATTCAGAAAGTAAAAAGAAATCATAAGATGTTAAAAAATTTATATCATATTTTAAATTAAATAAATATACGCTCAAAATTCAATTCATTTGCAGCTATAGGAATAAACAAACCATTTAAAATTGTATACAAATTCATAACAAAACCTCAAATCAAATCTATACCTTTAGTGAAATTTAAAAGCAATATAAAGATTTTTGATCTGGTACCAAATTTAATGTAATAAACAGCAACTTTAATAGATCACTTTGACAGTTAAGTCAACATTTTGTTTCTAAAACTTATTTTCTTCTTGATCATGATGATCGATACTGATTTGATAGAAAACTTTTTATCTGATATGATTTGAAATAATTTTTTTAGTTATCTTGTGAAGTAAAAGTTTAGCATTTAATTTGTGCACTTTTTAGTCCTTTTAAGGCCCCTTTCAATTTTCAGCCTCCAGACAGAAAAAAAAGGTTATAGTTTGGTATAATGATTTTATTTTTGTTAGAATGTTTAAATAAAGGCAACAGTAGTCACAATACCGCTGTTCGAAATTCATAAATTGATTGAGAAAAAAACAAATCCGGGTTACAAACTAAAACTGAGGGAAACACATCAAATGTAAGAGGAGAACTACGACACAACAGAAACACAACATTAAAATGTAACACACACAGAAAAGAACTATAATATAACAATGGCCATTTTCCTGACTATGGTACAGGATATTTTAAGAAAAAAGTGGTGGGTTGAACCTGGTTTTGTGGCTGCCAAACCTCCCGCTTTTATGGCAATGTTAAATATAACATTAAAATGACAACATTACATGACAGGACTACAATACAAATAAATGGGAGAACATATAGGACAGAGAAACATACGAATAATAGCTAACAAAAGGTACCAGGTTTTAAATTTAATACGCAAGACACGCGTTTTGTCCACACAAGACTCACCAGTGACGTTCAGATAAAAAAAGTACGAAAGCCAAAACAAGTACAAAGTTGAAGAGCATTGAGGACCAAAAGTTCCACATAGACTTTATAGGAAAATGATCTGGACTTCAACAGTGCTTAACCAAACATTTCAGAACTTTTGATGGTGCTTAACCAAAATATCCATAAAATATAATAATAAGGAGGTTTAAAGGCATGACAAATTTATAGAATCAGTAGGGAGGCAGGAAACAAATATATTTTTTGGCCTACCTGGTAAGGGAAATAACTTAACAGTTATACATAATTTAAAAAAAGCAGTAAAATTATATAATAACAAATTTCATTAGTGTTTTGATATGCAAAGCTGTCATGATATTCTGAAATCGTTTCGTTACAAACAAAATGCCAAAATGTGGATGGCCTCAGAAATTATTACATTTCCAACTCATTCTTATCATTTTTCTGTTTATTAGAGAGTATAAGGTAATTATCCATTTCACCTGATCAGACTACATTTTAATTTTCAAGTGACTTTAATCATAGAAAATGATGTTTATATTGATTATTTAATAATGATGCTACCAGCCTATTCTATGTTTAAACATAAAAAATCAATGAATCTGAAATCTCAATGACTTCTATAACATTGTACGAAATGTTCAATACATGCGCGAAAAAAAGAAAGTAAAAAAATTTCTATACTGTGATGATGGGCCCTCTCCTTAATTCTTACAACAAAAATATAAGTAGTAAATTCTGTGGTCATATCAACCAGAAAGGAATAATCAGATACTAAAAATGATTCGTGGATTAAATGATTGTTGCTTGTTTAAAGTCCAGTGCAACTCAGGTTCTGATACAGATTTATTTTATACAATAACTCTAACGGCCATCCCCTAGTTCACATGCCATTTTTTGCACAGTTATATAAAACCTTAACAACCAAAAGCAGATCCATATTTGACTTGATTTTATCAATGCACATCAAAGCATTTATACACAAAATGTTAATTTGAATTTGAAAAGTCATCTTGCCCTCATAGTCATATATTGTAAAATGTATCCCAAACTTCAGTTAAAATTTATTTCATTGTTGTCATAAAATTAAGTACCATTATAATTGTTTCTTTTAAAGTTTAACAAGTAAAAGTCCTAAGAGATGATCACAGACACTTAAAGGATTAGATATATTGTATACAAATAAAGGTATTCTATCAGTAAGAGGTTTCGTCAACATTTTACGGCTATAATAGCTATAAAGATCAGTCTGTGTCTATATGAAAAGAAAACTTGATAGGATATAAAAATATTATTGTTACCAAGTCACTAAATTTAAAGTCAACAATTTGAGATGATGTAAAAGAGAAGAGGGCAGACTTAAAGCTTTAACAATATGTTAAGGTAGATTAAGAGTCATATACCTAAATCTGGTTTGGGCTTGCCTCAGGACTATTTTAAGTTTTGTGTGAACTTGGGGGTCAACTAGGATATAAAATTGAATGACACTTATGCTACCATTTATCATCACTAAAATTATGTTTGTTTGAATTTACTGTACCTCTTATATTCATTGGTAAAAATATTTGGTACATGAATCCATTTAAATCAGATTTTTTTCTTAAAGATTGTTATTAGATCAATTTCTTGAGGAACTGAACTGACAATGTCTTTGAGCCAAGAATTAAGATATTGAATTGTAAGTGCTTTTTTGCTGCTAGAAATAAATGTGTAATTTGATAAAAATTTTGATTTTAACAACTTGCAATTTTCTTTAAAAAAAATATTCTGAATTAAATCAGCCACTTGTAAGAAATTTGGTTTAAACATATGTTAAAGATGAATGACTTCTGTTAAAATAAACCTGTATGAATTTTTGAATAGATTTATAAATGATAATTTTAGACTAAGTATACTCAGGCTGTCAATTAATCCACTTGTATTTATAACAAAATTATATTCATGCATGCATTTTGCTTAATCTCTTCTCACATATAATTACGTCTCTTGGCAATTTAGAATTTTAGAATAGAGGCACATAATCTAATTGTTTAAAGCTGTATGAACAGTTAACCTCGAGATATCTTTTGATTTTGTGTTGATTGGTTGATGTCTCATTAATATATACCCACCAGCTTTGTTAAATTCATATATTTATCAAGTTACAGGGTAAACTTATGTGCGATTGGTACTGTGATTCATTAATATTAATATTCATGATATCAATTTTCATGGGTTTTGCGATGAATTTAAATGCTTAACAAAATGACAATTTTCTATAGGCTATGAAGACTTTGGGGATACCCTGAAATGAAATCATGAAAATAACGATGAGTGAATGCACATCAACATAATTCAACCATTTTTTGTCTTATTTCTTCCTAGAAAGAAAGATAAATTAGCACAAAAGAAAAGACTTTTAGTGTATACTTAGTTGCACAAGTGCCACAATATGCATATTTGAATATAATTATAAGGAAATGTTGGGTTTATACATCAATGAGACATTAACCCAATAACACATGTGACCAAAAGACTTCTGGAGGTCATTGACACAGTCTTTACCAATAGACAGGCACCTACACAATATATCAAGCTCCAAATCACCATGAGTCCAAATAAGGACATGAAATGATAATAAAGAAGTTACGAACATGATGCAAGATCTGCCTAAATAATGCAAATTAAAAAAAAAAACATGACATAAGATAACCACTGCAGTCTGATGGTACGTTATAATACACGAATCTATGACTTTATGTGGCCTACATGTAATGGATACTCATGCCTCACTTTAACCATGCTAAGAGTTTAAAGACACCAATAAATAATGATAAATTGTTAAAGGCAACATGTATAATTCATCAGTTTAAGCATAAAAGATGTCATATGCCACTGGTATACATAAAACTGAGCATGAACAATGAATCTAACAGTAATCCTTTCTTAAGCATCATTCTGGACATATTAAGTGTTTAAACTCTTATGATGAATCAATATTTACAAAAGATATAACATGGATTCTTCAAAATATACAATGTCTTTGCCCTTAAGCCTATAATGGGTTTATATAAGGACTTAACATTTTTTAAAGGAATAAAAAATTGTATGCATACAATTGGTAGGCACCATGCATTGTGTAATTTACCAGACAAGTATGCTTCAAATAAAAATTGTGTGTGCTTAGTTAAGTCAGCAATTTTGCATGACAGAACCAAGGATATGCATCTAAAAGATACAACTATGAAGGGCCATTTTATATTATATTTCCTACTGAAATGAAAGGGAACGACCATTTAACTTCAAGGGGGGTATGGTTTTTTCCTAAAAAAACATTCTGATCCCCAATTTGATGAAAAAAATATTGTGGTCAAGCAAATGACAAAAAAAATTATTCTGAAACCAGATTTTCCCCATACCTTATAGTTGTAGAAAATAATTTGATTGATAGCATCGAAAAACTAAAATAAAAATGTTAAACCATACGCCCCCCTTGAAGTTAAATGGTTGCTCCCTAAGATCCATTTGACTTTTTTAGGTATATTTCTACTGGGTCAATTAGAAAATCAATAAGGTCAGAAACTCATACTTGACCAGTGTTGTCTGACCTTGCTTTTCATCAATAAAAAAAAAACAAAGTATATCATAAATTATCATTTTCATAAATTTTAATATAAGTAATATCATAGAAAAAAACCCATCTGTATGTTTAACTTCGATTTTTCAACTTTTTTCTAACAGTAGATAAAATATAAGTAAATTTTAACCTACCTACCTTTCAGTCAAATGTATACTAAAGAATCATAGTCCTAATCAGTGCCTACGTTTAAATAGAATAACTTGGATTGTTCACATATCAGTCTTATTTGTTTCTCCATTCATTGAGAGCTGCCATATCTTATACCGTAAATTTTAAATTAAACTTTCATATCTGTATGTATTATAATAGATCTGAAGTGGTTTATTACGGGTGCCTTAATCTCTCTCCATATGATGTAGCCTGATAAGGCAGTAAGTTGAACAATACTTTCCTGAATCTGATGTGGTTTATATTACGGGTGCCTTAATCTCTTGCCATATGATGTAGCCCGATAACCCAATATACAGAACAAATTACTTTTTCAAACAGAGGTAGGTAATGTTCAATTGGCGGAATAATAAGGGTTTATCTTACGATTATTAGTCACAATGTTTGTTCAATAAAAAGTGAAAAAGTAAATTGTTTGACTTTGTAAAAATAAAATAAAATGGAAATGTGACTGCATTTAACTCAGATCTATTGATAAATTACAATTGGTGCATGATTCGACAAGTGATAAAAGTTTAATGAATTTGTTATAACTGTGGGAAATCATTCTGACTGATGATTTTTAAGATATTACATGTATACAAGGGCATGTCAAGTTTTCTCCTTTGAATAAAATTAATATAAAATTGTAGATATTCAATGTGGTGGTGGTGGTGGAGGTGGTGGTGGTGGTGGGGAGGGCGGGACAAAAAAAATAAATGGGAAATGTGTCCATGGGACACAGATGATGTCCCCGCTTGCATATCATATAAAGTTTAAAGGGACATAACTGAAGAATGGTAAAAGTGACGCTACTTGTACTTGATCTGAGTTTTGTGGTAAAAAGTATTGTGTATAAGTTTCATAACATTTGGTTGAGGCAAATTTAAGTTAGAGAACGGAAACGAAAAAATTCAACAATTTTTCCATTTGTAAAGGGGCATAACTATAGAACAGTTAAAGTGATGTCACCAAAATTCAAACTTGATCTGTATTTTGTGGTAATAAGCATTGTGTATAAGTTTCATAACATTTGGCTATAAACGTAAGTACTAGAACGGAAACCAAAAAATTCAGCAATTTTTCCATTTGTAAACGGACATAACTCTGGAACTCTTAAAGTGACACCACCAAAATTCAAACTTGATCTGTGTTTTGTGGTAATAAGTATTGTGTATAAGTTTCATAATATTTTGCAGAGGCAAACTAAAGTTAGAGAACGGAAACCAACTTTGGGATGTACGGACAGACGGACATACAGACGGACAAGGGTAAAACTTAATTCCCCCTCCTCTACGCAAGGGCATAACTAAAAAAAACTGGTTCAAGTCCTGTGACCTGCATGAGTTGAAACTATTGTAACTTAAAAATTCTTATTTCAATACTAAATGTGTCTGAATATCTGGGGTTACTGACATTTTTATATTTCCCAAGTGAAATGTAAGATCTTTCTGACATTGATTAAGGGTTTTAAAAACAGGCAAATACTAAGTCTAACATTTATTTTTTATGAACCTTTTGAAAGAGTACAAATATGTCAGACTAAGACATGTATGTAAATAGGAAATCATAAACATGAACAGGTGTCCAAAGAACACAATTGCCCTGCTCCCAATATCACATTTCCATGTTAAGTGAACCGTGTGATCTGGATCAAAACTCAAATTTGTCATATAATGAACATGTGTACCAAGTTTCAAGTTGATGTGAACTTCATATTAAACTACCTTAAACCCAAACTTAAGGTGGTACACAACACTACAGGGAGATAACTCTGTAAAAATCAGCTGAACGTTTTAATCACGTTCTATTGTTAAGGAAATATGGAGCTTCTCAATGATCAAAATTAGTGTTTGTCAAACTGCTATATATCCAATGAAATTTTTCCGATAAAGTAGGTGGTTCAATTTTCTTGAAATTTTTATATTTTTGTGACAACAGGTCAAAGTAAATATTTTGTCCAAATTTTATGAAAATTAAACGTGCCAAATCTATTTTAAAGTGTTGGGTACCCCCTTAAATCTGATGCGAGATGGATGGATGGAAAGATACATGCACAGACTAGAAACCACATTAATTATAAATGCTATCATAGGAAGGGTCCCAGCATTCAAAACATCTAATATTCTCTCATTTCTACAAAATTCTGACAAAATTAAGATTTTCTTGTTTGCATTTTCTATAGTTGCAAATCTTTGCCAGCATAAAATAAAAAAGATGTTTTCATATTCATTAATAATATGTAAATAATCCAGAAACATTGCTTGCAAACAATCTAAACCAAGGGCGATAACTGCAGTTTCTGGCTCAAAATATCCATGTTCTGTTCTCTTGAAGACATTCAATTTAAAGAATATCTAAAGATTATTTTTTCATTTAGAGATATTAACTGCACAATGAAACAAAGCCAACTTCATTTTTAATTTTTTCGAAAATAAATAAATATTGCAACACAATTTCTAAAATCAAAGGAAACAGAGACAAACAAATAGTTACCTGGTATTCAAACAGCATCTTTGTGTTAAACTTTCACCCTAGAAACCATTTAACGTTAGTCCCATGTAGATAAACTTAGAAATTCAGATATGATTTAGATTAGCCAGGTCATATTCACTGAAATGTTTTAACTTCACTTTCTATTATAGAATTGTATTAAAAGTAATTTGTATATTTAATAAGTTTAAATATATTCATTCAATAAGTGTTTAATGTGCATAACGTCAATCAATACATATCTCTTGTTCTTACAATACGGGGCTCAATCTAGGTAAATAATTTGTAATGAATGAAGTTCTTACATACAACATGTAGTATATTAAATGCTCCATTTTTTTAGGAATAAAAATCTAGATATTTACTGATCGTTCGAAGGTTCTCTTGAAGACATTCAATTTAAAGTTAAAATTGAGTTCTTAATCAGTGATGAAACTTGGACAAAATATTGTAATATACATGTATCAGTAAAGAAAATATGAAATATATATATAGATATTTCTTGAGGGGCCTTGGTGGCTGAGTGACCTAAGCAGTCCATCTACTATATCACTATAAGCTAATGTCAACACTTTAAGGTTGCAAGTTTGAACCCTGCACTCAGGCTTCCTCCACCAATAAAATCTGACTTGTTTTGACCATTAAAAACTAATTATTCATTGGACTGAATGTCCTATAAACCATTTTGCACTATTGTGATTTATTGGTCACTTATATTCTACATCCTAAATTCATCAATATAAAAATAAGGAGATGTTTTTTGACTGCCAATGAGACAACAATGGACTAGAGAACTCATGAGGAGAATAAGCAACTATAGGTCACCATACTGCCTTCAACAATGAACAAAACCCAAACCATCAAATAAGCTATTAAAGATCCCGAAAGTACAAATGTAAAACAATTTAAAGGAGAAAACCAATATCCTAATTTATGATAAAACAATCAACATTATATAACAAATAAAAAAAAAAATGTGTCTGAGGACAAGAATGCCCCCTCTAATATAGCTTCAAACAAACAAGAATGGAACGGACGGAAGGAAGGATGGAAAGATGGAAAGACAGACAGTCAAGGGTAACACTTAATGCCCCTGTCAACTACGGCGGAGGCTTAAAAACAAATATGATAGACAGCAACCTTTGACAACCACTGAATTACAGGCTTCTGACATGGGACAGGCACATTCATATTGTGGCACTGGGTTGCGTCCACAATCATAATTAAGTCTGCTGTTAATGTACTTATAATTTTTCAGACAGAATACAAAGTTGTTCATTTAACTAGTACTACTTAATCTAGAAACCACTTAATTTCATTATTTACTAAAAACAAGATTTTTATAAAACATACAGTGCTAATTTAAAACTAGCAAATCATTTCGACTACAAAAAATTTAGTTGTCATATATATGCACCCTTTAAATACCCCCTTGTCATTCAAAATGAAAACAAAGACATTTTAAATGTAAGCAAAGCTTTTCTTGTGAGCTATTATAATCTTTAACAATAAAACTACCAGGTTCTATTGTTACTTTGAGTTAACGGTTCTTTTTTATCAATAACTTTAAATTTTGCATTCCATTCAAGTTTTCATTTCATCCTGTTAACAATGCATATCAAGATATTAAATTCTCTTTAACAAAATTCAATACACAACAAATTTATTCAGCTATAATAAAAAAATTACTGTTCCCTTTCTATCATATTCGTGCGATCTATACATAATTGAACTATATAAAGTCTTCTTTTAAATATAGTTTCATATTAATCAAACTGCAATCTGGGTTTTCTAAAGTTACTATGAACTTACACAATGCAACCTTTATATATATGTAAAATAAACAAATATTCAAAACTTTCTCTAAAATGGTTTGAATTTCTTAAAAACAATATTAAAATCTTTTGATTTTAAACAAATATTCAAGTACAATTTAAATATTTACTTTTATCAATCAAATGCTAAAATATTATACAGTACACTTACGCAGCTAGTATTGTGTAATTAAACCACTCGATATCATAAAACAATATGTACTGATCGTGTCAAGTTGACAACATAAAACTTGGCAATATTATAATGTATTATATTATATGCAATGTTATGATATGATTTGTTTTATATGCTTGGTTAAATATTTAACATAATATTTTTGGCAGTAGTCTTCTAATCAAGGTTTTAAAGGTCCTTTTATTTTTCTATATATAACATTTTTAGGAAGTCATCAAAAAATTCAGAAAACATGCAGTCCATTTTATTTCAAACACAGGAAATTCAATGTTTTAATATGCATGTTCACAGTGTGAAACAATTTACTCTTAATTTAATCCATCTCAGTTGGTAAGAATTTTTACCCTCCCTTACTGTGGCCACCTCTTCCACAAAAAAATATAACAAAACAAATGGTGCCACTTATGCCACTTTTATTCCCTAGAGAAACTTTGCTCTATTCATGTTTCCTCATATACACAGCAGCAAAAAAACAAATCTTTAACTATCTGACATTCAAGTTCTTTAGTTGGCTGATTGAAACCCCTTTAAGATTGATCCAAAAATGTTTTTTTACAAAAAAAACAATAAAACCTTAAAATAAGCAGGTTGAATGCATATAACAATCATCCACTCTCAAATTTGGCCATTCCTGAAGTCAAAACTCTATGGTCTACTAAGACAATGGCATCTGATTAGCAGTAAAATTGCAAAAAAGTTACAGACTTAAATACGGATGAAACTGCTCTAACACCATGCAGTAGTCTATCTTTAACTGTTAAGGTCCTCATAAAGGAGAACCATAAAACAGGCC